GGGTCTAGAGCCCTGGGACACTTCACCTCTCTGCCCTTGGATTCCATACTCCTTCAATCTTCTGAAATCCAGGATCTTCAATGGCAGGACCTGCATTTTTTTTTTAAATGTTTATTTGATTTGAGAGAGAGAAAGTGAGACATTGATTTGTTGTTCCACTCATTTATGCATTCACTGGTTGCTTCTTGTATGTACCCTGACCGGGGATGGAACCCAGAACTTTGACGGTATCAGGACAACACTTCAACCAACTGAGCTACCCAGCCAGGGCTCAGCTCTATTCTGTTTAAAAGACATGCCTCTAGAACATAAGGGGATAGAAAGGGTAAAATGAAAATGATGGAAAACTATGTGCATTAGGGCCACACGATTCTAATTGGTCGGTTTGCAGTTCAGACAGCCCAGAGAACACCGCTTTCTCCAGACTGTTAGTGGGCTGGTTTTTAATACGATTTTCAGTGACTTTTTAAAGTTTACCTGTCTTGTTTCAGTGAGAGGGGATTTATTGGCAATGTGCACTCTGATGTAATAGAATTGACTTTTTTGTTAGTCTCATTTTTAAAAGATTTATCATCTTTTTTATGAGACTGATTTTCAAGCCTCATCTCAGTTTATGAAATTAGATATTGTTTTTATTAACTCAATATCTCAGAGCTGTTAGCAATTTTTATGTGAAGCAAAACTAAATGAACCGACAAGTGCAGTCTTGTGGGTAATTTTTCTTTATGTTTTTTCTATGTTTTTCAGTGTTGAGACTTGTGCACATTCCTGTAAGACACTACATAGCAGTGGTTTTCAACCTCTTTCACCTCATGGCACACGTAACTAATTAATGCAATTCAGTGACACAACAAAAAATGTCTATTTTTTTTGCCAACCCGGCCAAAAAAAAATAGGTATAATTTTGATTCGTTCACGCTGGACAGCGATTGTTGTGTTGGCTGTTGTCATTTTTCCATTCACCAATCTAAGGCAAAAGAGGGCATGGCCCCTGAGATACTCAGGTGTTGCATGTTTTCAATTTTTCCTGCACCCCGGTTGAAAATCGTTGCTATCCCAAGTTACACCACCAGAGGGCACCAAAGCACCAATAATCAGCAAAAGGTAAGCGTTTGAGGAAAAGACGACGGCAATGAAACTGTGTCCCTGGCGTTCGTTTCACACGAAAGCATCGGGCCAGAGTGAAGAATTCCCGCTTCATGGAGGTAAAAATAAATACGGGGCATCCAGGTGCGGTGTCTTCAGACGGCACAGTGCCCTACGGATGGCTCCTCATGAAATGGTTTGGCACCCAACCTTTTTATTGTTAAAAAATAATAATAATTTTTAAAATCAAGAAACTAGAAAAATGGCTTCGACGGAATTACCTCCCTCTCTAGTGATTTTACAGCTTGCATCGAACTAAAAATATTACACTTATGTAGAAACTTATTCTGAGCCGTCTCACTACATAATTCATTGGAACATCCTGTTCCTTTTCTTCGACTCTTCATGCTTTGATTCCTATTCCTGGTGGAGCGGACCCTCCCCCACCCCCACCCCCCAGCACCAGAGCTTCAGGTGGGGGGAGGGGCGTGATCCCCGCAATCCCGGCGCTTGTTTCCGGATTCTCTGAGACAGCAGCAGGGGCTCCAGGCCGCGCCGACCACTCCCCACTTTCCACAGAAACAAAGCAGGGCCTCCCGAGGACGCCGGGCGTTTTCAGGGGCTGAACATGACCCCCCCGCGCACCCCAGGGCGTAAGCCGAGTGTCTGGTCCTCCCCAGGTTCTGCGCAACACGCGTGGGGGATGCGAAGTTGGCGGAGGCCGAGTGAGGCCTACGCGTTGCGCCAGTGGCGCTTCCAGACGTGGGAGACAAGGTGCCGCGCACCGGGCCGGGCGAGCTCGGGAGGCCGTGTGGCGGCCCCACGCGCGCCCAGTCCCAAAGGGGCCACAGCGTGGCCTGAAATGAAACACGTGTTCGCGGCAAGCAGGTCACGGCGGGCCACCGCGGGGCCAAGGCCGGGGTCGAACCGTCCCCACAATCGGCCGCCTTGCAGCGCGCCAACTTCCAGCCCACGTTTATTTCGTGTTTTCTCCCCTGCTCTTCTTATTCCAGTCGGTTAAAAGGGGGGTCCGAGTGTCCATGCTTTTTAAGGTCTCCCACTTTTGCCCATTTTCAACCGCTGTGCTGCACGGATGTTAAAACACACAGCACCTGATTATTTCCCCAGACTGTCAAATACAGAAAATGACAGCAGCCAACTCCACACCGACCGTTCAGGGCGAATGAATAGAAATTATACCTTCTTTTTTTTCCTTTTCCAGACCGGCAGATATGTACATATATATGTGGTGTGCCACAGAATTTTAGAAACTAGTTTCTATGAGCCGTGAGAGGGGAAAGCTACTGAGGGCTCAGCTCGATTCTGTCTAAAAGACATGCCCCTAAAACGTAAAGGGATAGAAAGGGTAAAATGAAAATGGTGGGAAACTGTGTCCTCCAGGGCCACACGATGCTACTTGGTCGGTTTGCAGTTCAGGCTGCCCAGAGAACACCGCTTTCTCCAGACTGTTAGTGGGCTGGTTTTCAATCTGATTTTCAATTTTAACTCTGACAGGTGGGAAATTGATTTTCCTCCCCAATTGTGCTAGGAAAATATTGGAGCAAGCCTGCTTTGCATCAAGTAAAATAGCTCCAAGACTTGTACAGTTATTTGGAAAAGAGGAAACCTGTGTCTTCATGAAGACACTTTTACAGTCTGTGACTGCTCGGCTCTGTCCCCCAACGCCCTGCCCGCCCCAACTGTCTTGGGAATGACGGGAGCCTGGTGTGTGCAGAGAACTCGGGGAGGTCCTTCCCACACTCAGGTGCTTCCCGCAGCAGTTCGGAGAGTTAGGACGGTGCCCCCTGTCTGAGGACCCAGGGTTTGGAAATCGGCCTGGCCACTAAGCCCCCGCGAGACCTCGGGCAAGTCACTCAAGGCCTTTATGTCAGTGGTGTTCTCCTTAAAATGGGAACAACAGTATCTCCCTCACAGGGTTGTCGTGAGCTCATTTCAGGAGTGGAACCTATGTACAGCACACATGTTGAGAGGCAGGTACAACTCCATTCGTTTGGGGAAATCCCTCTGTTCTAAACCGAGTGTAACTTCCTCAATGTCACGTAGCTAGAAAGCCACCGGACCAGAATCCAGACCCGGAATGACAGCGTTTGCAAAAAGTGATCAGGTGAGTTAAAAATCAATATGTAAAATCTAAAGAGTTTTAGGAGAAAATACAAAATAATATTTTTTACTCTGAAGTAAAATATTCAAACCCAGAAGCTATAAAGTCATATATTGACAATATGACTATATTAAACATTTAAGAGTGTATAGCAATATACACATAAAAAAAAGTTAAAGGACAAGTAATAGAATAGGAAAGTATGTGTAACACATCTAAAAGAGAGTTAATAGTTTGGGGGGCTTTTTTCCTATGGGAAAAATTCTACAAACATTTATTCAAAAACTGGATAAAGAATACCAAAAAGTCATTTAAAGCTTTTTAAAAATAATAGAAACAGGCAAGAAGTATACAAAAAGAGGTTTAGTTTCAACAAATAATTAACAACTAAATAACACATCATTGTCATGATCAAATTAATAAGTATTAAAAATATTGATAATATCAAGTATTGGTGACTGTGAAAGGAACCGAGTATTCATAGACTCTTTTTCTTCTTCTTCTTAAAGCAGTCCCTTTAGCATATCTTGCAATGCTGGTTTGGTGGAGGTGTATTCCTTTAGCCTTCTTTTGTCTGGGAAACTCCTTATTTCACCTTCCATTTTAATGGAGAGCCTTGCTAAGTAGAGCAATCTTGGCTCTAGGACTTTGCTTTTCATGACTTGGAATATGTCTTGCCATTCCCTTCTGGCTTGGAGTGTTTCTGTTGAGAAGTCAGCTGCTAGCTGTATCGGGGCTCCCTTGTATGTTGCTACCTCTTTCTCCCTTGCTGCCTTTAGGATCCTCTGTTTGTCTTTGATATTTGCCATTTTAAGGATGATGTGTCTTGGAGTGGGCCTCATTGGGCTCCTCTTGAATGGGACCCTCTGTGCTTCCTGGTCTTGTGTGACTTTTCCTCTCCTCCAATGAGGGAAGTTTCCCATCATTACTTTTTCAAACAGGTTCTCTATCCCTTCCTCCTCTTCTTCTCCTTATGGTATCGCTATTATACCTTTATTATTACGTTTCAGGTTGTCCTGCATTTCCCTCAACACCTCTTCATTCTTTTTGAGTCTTTTTTCATTTTCTTGCTCTTTCTGGGTGCTTTTTTCTACTTTGTCCTCCAGCTGGTTGATTCAATCCTTGGCTTCATCCAGCCTGCTTTGGATTCCTTTTACTGTGCTCTTCAACTCAGAAACTGTATTCTTCATTTCCTGTTGCCTCTTATTGATAGTATCTATGTCCTTTTTCATGCTGATGTAGTTTGCAGTGAGTTCCTCATAGTTTCCCTGTAGTTTTTTGTAATCCTCTCTGAGCTCACTGAGTTCATTGAGCTTCCTTAGAACCATTGTTTAGAACTCAGTATCTGATCATTTTTATTTAGTTCCTGCCTCTATTTTATTTAGTTCTCTTTCTGGGGATTCCTCCTTTCCCTTCGACTGGGGGGTATTTCTTTGTCTTTCTGTTATTTGTGAGAATCTTCTTTTTTGCTTCTGCTTCTTAAATTAATCTGTTTTGATTTTCTGACTTTGTGATTTGAACGTCTATGGTAGGAGACCGCTGTTTTTTCTTTCTGGATCTGCCTCTGATGATGTCAGCTGTTGACCCTGTCTGACCCTTAGGCAGTCTGTTCGAGACTTCCAGGGATCTACTGCATGTGGCTGTCTCCTTCAGCTGTTAATCTGGTCACTCTGCACTCAGCAGGTCTGGCTTAGACACCACAGGGTGGGGCCAAATCCTTCCTGGGGGCGTGGCTATTGATTCCTCTCACAGCTGCTGCCACTCAGGGGAGTGGTCTCTGCCTGAGCAAGATGGCTGCTGCCGCGTGGGGGATGAGTCAGCACGGGGATCCCGCCGGCTAATGTCTCAGTTCTCTCCCAAAGCCTCCATCTCCAGTCTCCTCAAACGTCTCCAGCCCACTCTGTCCCCGCCTTTGCTGAAGCCCAGGGTAAGTGGCTGCAAACAAAAATCTGTATGTTGGCCCTTTAAATGGCTCTTTGCCTCTCCAGCTGCTTGTCTCTGGCAGAGAGCAACCCTGCTGCTTTTCGCAGCTGGCTGTCATCTGTGTCCTTTCTGGGCTCTGGTCCTGTACGCTGGAGATCCCCACTTACGGTTTAGACCCCACTCTTCTCAGGGGGATCCCACTGGCCCCATTTCACTATCCTTCTGGTGCTGGCGCCCGTGGGTGCCCCGCCTGCCTTCTTGAGTCTCCACCCCCCCCCTTCTTACCAGTCAGGTTGTGCTGAAGCTGATTCTTCTGTCTGCCTGAGGTAATAAGGCTCCTCTCTTGCTATTGTTCAGTTGTTTGTTCCAGGTGACTTCTCCACAATTTAGTCGTAATTCCATGGTTGGTGTGACTTACACTCACTCCTCCGCCATCTTGATTCTCTCCGTTATACTAATTTAACAGTATGAAAATTTTGGATGTTTATTGTTAGAGATTTTTTTTATTCCCAATCTTTTATGTGCAATGGAAGCAAACACGTTGGAAATCTCTTTCCGAGAATAACAAAAACATAAACCAGGCTGCCTGTAGGACAATGAGAATATTCAGTGACTGTCATCCAGAGAACAGGTCAACACTTCACGCAGACTATGCATTACTGTGGATTACTATAAAACGGTTCACTGAGTAACAATGAAATGAATCAATGACAGCTTCACGCAAAAATCTGAGTCTTTCAAATTTAATGCTGAGGCAAAGCTACCAGAGCAAATGAGACTTCTCCACTCCCCGCCCCTGGTCAGCCAGCCGGAGGCGAAGGCCTGGGAGCCCTGGGTGGCGTCCTAACGACCACGTCATGAGCGAGCGCAGAGGGTGGGAGCGGGAGTCTCCAGTGTCAGAGGGATCCCACCCAAAGGCAGCACCTGCGTCCCTCAGTGACACGACACTGGCTCCTCCAGGAACGAGAAATGCACTTGCGTTTTCTTGAGCTTCTGAAATGTTGATGTCATCTGCTACGGCAGCTCGTGTTACTTTAACTAACGGAGTATCGAGCTGGGCCCCCACGTGTTGAGCTGAGAGCAGATATGGCAGCCATCAGTCCTCCTAACACAATGGCGTTTGTAAACTTTCGACCCCAAGGGAGCTGGAGTCCCCTGAGGCATACCGGCCCCCCATCCCTGCTCCCAGAGTATGGCAAGGGAGGTCCTAAGAGGCCGCAGAGGCTGCAGCAGTGGGGCAAGCCCGAGACTCCCCAGATACACCTGTGCGAAGCCCACACAACCTGCTAAGTCCTGGCAGGATCCCCTTCTGTCCACGTTCATGCTGCCTTGGGGTGGCACCGCTCAGACATCAGGGGCCCTTGTCCCCACCCTCTGCACTCACTCGTTACCAGGCAGGTCCGGCCCTTCCAGGCGCACCCAGCGCTGGGCTCGGCTCGGGGCGGCAGCCTTCGGAAGCGGCGGCTCTTGTCCCAAACACCCGCTGATTAGGGCCGGTCAGCTCCCGGGGCCCAGTCCCCGGCGCACGCAACAGACACACCAGTGGGATGTGCAGGAGAGCAGCTTATTCCAGCAAGGAAAGGCCCCTCAGTGACTCTCCGGGGGCGGGAGGGGCCCAGACAAAAAGGCTCTTCAAGCTTGGCGTCGACGCTAATGGATGGAGTCACTGGGATTCCGGCGATGCGGTTCCTTTCTGCGGGATGACGCATTCACCCTAGACCCCCGGCCCCCAGGATACCCGCTGGAACATGCCACCTGGGAGGGAAGGGACGAAGGAGTCCAAGAGAAAATGTCTAAGGACTCGTCCTGACGTAGGGCTGCCCAGGTTTGGAGGAAACAAGAGACAAAAGCAAAAATTAGCTGCCCTTTTATACTGTTCCAGATAAAATAAGATTTAAAAAAATTACCCTCTAAACTCAACGGATGTTCTGTTCTTCTGAGGGACTTTTTCTAATGTTTTGTGTGAGTTCACTGGTAGACGGCCTCCCTCTTCGGAGGGAAATGGGGGGAAAGGGGAATTCCGTGACTCGGGATGGTCCCTGCCGTCCAACAAACCCCGTGGGACAGGCGCGACATCAGTCAGCCCGCCCGGCTGCTGTGCCCAGGAGACGGAAGGGCCTCAGCCACCCGGACCTCCTCCCCGCGGGGTCAGGCCAGGCCGTGCACGCAGACGCTCCTTCCGGGGCCGAGGTGGCAGCCCGAGAGCGCCTCCGGTCCCCAGGTGCGGGGGTTTTCCCGTGTTAAAGAATTTACATCTCGACCCTTCTTCCCGGCCAGGCCCTGTCCCTCCGCTCCCTGGTCAAGGGCAGTGGGAGCAAGAGCCACATTTGCCTGGGCGGGTCCAAACAAGCAGCTGGAGACAGAAGGAGAAACAAAGTCAGAGCTAATGGCACCAGAGCTCTAGGCTGCAGCATCGGCAGCCCTCACCGAGGGAGGGAGGGAGGGAGGGAGGCAGGCAGGGAGGCCAGCCATCACCCACGTCCACCGGGGGCCTAGCAGGTGCGCGGGGGCCTAGCAGGTGCGCGGGGGCCTAGCAGGTGCGCGGGCGCGCGCCAGGCCCTGGGGAAGGCACGCAGAGGCACCTGACCAGACCGCCGCGAACGGCTTCCAGTCTAGTCCGCGGAGGAGGCTCAGGCGCTGGGGAGGGACCTCAGATGAAATTACCCGCCCCCTCCCACCCCAGAAAACACATTCGAAAAACCAGAGAAAGAAAAAACTGAAGTTCACTGGGCTTGATTTCATCCCTTTTCTTTCAGTTCAGCAGCTTCACATTAGAAAAAAAAGCATAAATCTGAAAACCTTTGAAAATGCGTAATTTTACTCATAAAATTCACTTTCATTAGAAAAATGCTACTTATTGCCATTAAGAAAACCCTCAAACATATCGTCAGTGTTTTCAATGATTTTTTTTCTTATCAGTCTGTACTTGTGAAGTACACAAGTTCCCAAATTGCATCAAAACATGCAACAAATTTCTGAAACAGGTCTCTTGAACCCGCTGGCGGTCTCGGAAGTGCGCCTGGCTTTCTGCTAAAAGCAAGGACTGAAACGACAGCCCTCCGTGTGCCACCCAGGTGCCCAGCGTCCAGGTGCCCTGCGTCCGGCTGCCCCCGTGGAGCCCTATCCCGCCCACTCAAAGCGTCCTGAGAAAACACCTCCATGGACCGGCTCCCCAAGGATTCAACGCTTTCCAGGAGGGTCCCACCCACGGCCCACGGGCGACCCAGGGTAGCTACTGAATGCGGCCCAACCCAAAAGTGTACATTTACTTAAAGCGTTGCGGTTTTTTGTGATTACCTGTCGCAATGTATTTAATGTGTGGCCCAGAGACGCCCAAAGGCTGGACACCCCGCGGGACAGAACAGTGGAAAATCTCATCAGAACCAAACAGCCCGTCTTGGGCGGCGACAGGGCCGCGAGGTAAGTCCGAGAAACGGGATTCCAAGGAGCCTGTGTGTGTGGCGCACGCTAAGGCATTTCTGAAGTTGTGTTATTTCCCCTTACGCGTAAAGGAACCCAACGCAATCCAGTGGGGGAATAAAAGGAACACCCTTCTGTTTGGGTTAAACTACTAGAGAAAAGGGGGCATGTGAGTGCCCCACGCTAAAATTAACCCCCGTCTGACCAGAGTGACCTTCAAGCGCCTGGCCATCATTCTGTCTCACCGCCGCGCTCCCCCATTTCCAATCGCACTCTGGTTTTCTAAGTGTGAAGACCTGGGTCTTTGTGGAGACTTCCTGGTTCCCGAACACTGATACTCAGGTAGGTTACGTGATCCAAGTGGACACAGGTCTAAACGTGTTTGAACGTAGAACCCTGGAAAACTGGTCACACCCAAAAAGGGGTCCCCAAGGCTGGGGTTTCTCGTCCCCACGTGGGAGCCCCACTGCCCGGAACCCTCGCCCTCACCAACTTCCAAAGCAGCGCGTGGACGGACATCACAGCTCAAGCACGGCTCAACCCCCACCCCGACCGAGCCGCCAGCCCCCACCCGTGGCCCGGGCTGCGGCCCGGCTCCGCGCCCTGCGGTGACTCAGCCCCGCTGCGGGCTCGCCCCCCTCCGCCCCCAGTTCTCAGCGCCGCTGCCACAGATCTTTCGTTTCCACGCCCACCTGCACTAACCACAGGAGTTTTGTGGGTGTAAAACCCACCAGAAATAAAGCCAGATCAGCATGAATTAGATCTGTCATCTTTCCGACTCACTACTAAGGTGCTTTCGTTTAATCTCTCTCCTGAGCAGATACAAATTCTACAACTTGTGTGGTGTGATCGAACCACGACGTAGGTCACCCCACCTGCCACGTTACAGATGAAGAAACCAGGACCCCAACCAGTTTAATGAGAAAGCTGGGCGCCAAACCCGGTCGCCTACTCGTGACATTATGCCTCTGACCTTTCCCACGGACACAAGCTCTTCCACATAAAGCTGTTCAAACTGTTATTAAGTGGGGCTGTATTTTATGGGGTAAATGTAACAAATGTCAGCTACTAGCCTAAACTGGCCTTCGGGAACATCAGCCCTTTCTGGTCACTGCTGGGAGTGCAGCGACAGTCTCTGCTCTCGCTTCAAGGGCAACTGCTTTGTGGTCGCTGCCTTGAGGACAGTTATCTGCCCACTCCAGAAAAAAGTCACCGACTGTCCTTGCTCCCTGGGACACCTGCGAGCACTTCAGTCACCTCCCGGGCTTGGGCTTCAGCCTCCTCGCCCGCGAAGAGCGGACGTTCGCCCCGTTCCCCGCACCTGCTCACTGGAGGCCGCGCAGCGAATACGTGAGCGCGCTTCGGTGTGGAAAAGCGCACCGACACACACTTTCACCACCCGGTTACTGCTAAAATGTAGACCTGCAGAAATGGTAACTAATTACCGTGCCGTGGCGCTAGGCATGCTTGCAAACACAAACCTCACTCGGGGGGAACATGCAAACGGTTTAACTTCCAATGCAGTGCTAAGCCACCGCCCAAAGATACTGTACAAAGGAATGCTTTTAGAGGAAGCAAGAGACACACACAGTTGGGTGACTTGAGACTTTCGGGTGAGTTAGAATGACTGACTGCAATATAGAGAGGTATTTAGTCTTTATGTGGAGAAAACTGCTAGTCACCTGCAAGAAAAACAAGCAACATGGGCCTTCCTAAGACAAATGGTAAAAAATTCTGTCACTTTTGGCTATTTTGTAAGCCACGCTTCTCACAAATACCCATAATAATGTTTCCAGTAATCAGATATACCCTAAATGAGATAAAAGAGTGTCTAGTTCTAAATCACAGTCAGTGTGAATTGGCACAAATGCAAAACATGGCTTAGGGTTCTTCGACTTCCACCTGCACCTGACAAGGTTACACCCTTCCTGCTCACTTTCTCGTCCATTAAGAACCATGGACATGCAGGGAATATTTCCAACACAAATTTTTTATAAACCCTACTGTGTAGTTTCCTTATTCTCACGGTACTCCGCTCTGGTGGTCTTCTTTTCTGGTTTGTTTTGATTGTAAAATTATGTTGAAGTAGCACATTAACCTTCCCCTTCAAATATGCCTTTTGATGTTCTTATAAAAAAATCAGCAACCAAAAAAAAAAAAAATGAAGATTCAAGGGAGGACATAAATGAGAACGATTCATTAAGTATAAAAATATGCTGTTTCAAATTCAGAATAATTTAATAATTCTTCATTATTTCATATGTATCTGGAAATGGAACAGAGACGTGTCCCGATCCCGTCACAAGAGGTAGAATTCCAGCATTTGGTACGACGTTCCAAGACAAGGTCAAAGTGACGTTCCTGTTTCCCCTATAGAAAGACACAATGAGCAGATGGCAGCAGAAACATTTGTAGTTCAATAAAAACATTTTAATTCAAGCACTGAGGTGTCAAAAAGACTTACTTATGACCAGCTATTCCTAACTGGAATCCTAATCTACACACAGAAGTTTTCTCCAGTCGTAAAATCCGGGAACACTGGTGAAAGCAGCCCTCTGTCTGTGGGCATCGCACAGTGTGGCGCCAAAACTCACTCAGCCTCTAGCGCCACCAACCGAAAGTTCCAGTGGGTGAAACGCGGAGAGTAACAGGTATGAAACGCAGGCGTGAGCGGGAGACCAGGAGACAGTGCTTCCGGCCCCGATTCTGTCACTGCCTGGACGGGCAAACCTGAGCCGACCTCCGAGTGGAAAAACTAAAATGACTTAGAAGACCACTCACTAGAGTTCCCTCGTTTTGTGGAAGAAGGAAACCGAGGTTCAGGGAAGAGAACTGGAACTGGAACTCTCCATGTCAGCTTGGCCAGCGCACTGCCTCCTCTCCTCCCTGCCTCTGCCCCCCCCCCAGGGGCCCGACCCCCCGCAGCCCTGGCCCCACCCCACGCGTGCACCAGCGCAGCCCAGGCAGACGTGGCCGGGACTGAGTTGGGGCCTCGGCCTCCGCCTGGGCGGCAGAGCTTCCACGCCACCTTCCCGGTCTGAGCTGCACAGGCGCTTGCCTTCTCTCAGCGCCTTCCTCTTTTTACCCTCTAATATTTTTCTCTAAAAATAACAACTTTTCTCCCCCTTTCACATATAATTAAATATTAAAAAATGATGAAGAATTGCTCACTTGAGACCATTTCCATCATCAAAGAAAAAATATTTTGTTTTCATGTCTTTCAGCAGCAGCTTCGGGTTATCGCCTCTCAGAACAATCTTGTCCCAGAGGACAACTTGGTTCAGCGCCTGTATCAAGATGAAAATGAATCAGATTAACTCATCAGGAGAGCATCTCTGTCACTTCACAGTAAAAGCATTGGTAAGCAAATCGTTTGTTATCAATGAGCCCAACTGGAGGAAATGAGTAAAATCTTCAAGCAAACAAAATGGTAACAAATGGTAGCTATAACAAGGGGGACAGCCTTTTCTTGGAGAAAAGACAGATGTCTCTCTAAAGGCAATCACTGCATGTGCTAAGGCCACCGCCTAGTTACCTGGGGTCCCCAAAGCTCGGGCAAGGCCCCGGGGGAGCGGGAGGAACTGCCTCCCTGAGCAGGCGCGGTCTCAGGTCGCCTCTGTAAACCTTGGAGACCCTCCAACTCAGTACAGGCCCTGCACAGGGCCAGGGACACCCTTCCAGCAGTTAACAGGTGGCGGCTGCCAATTATGCCATGACAAGGTTTTTGAATGACCAAGGAACCAATAAAGACATGAAGCCTTCTTAATATTTTTTTTCTTTACATTAAAATAAAATACAGGCACATTGCTGTTTTATTACAGCAAAATTCTAGAAGTCAGACACCTCTTTAAAGCTACTATTTTGACATATAAACAAATTATTTGGAAAAATAGGGGCAGGAAATGGAGAGAACACATTTGTGGTCACTAGAAAATCCCAAGAACTGCGTGCTTACTAAACTACTGCCTGTTGGCCTATGAGCCAATCGCTCGCGTGTCTAGAAACAAACGTCGAACAGGCATTTCTGCAGGAGGGTTCAAATCAGCAACGCACAGCCTCCTTCTAACATCAAACAGAAACAGCATGTGGAAGCAGCACAGAATCGAGGACATGGCAAAGTGAAATGACTTTTTGTGTATTAATTCACCAAGGCAATCTGTCAAATTCCAAACTGTATTAACGTATAGTCATGCTGGGGCAAACCAAAATTATGAATATAATTTAGGTATGTCTGTCACCAAGAAAATGACATAGTTATTTGGATGATTTGCTCTGAGACTTGTATAATATTGTGTTTCCAGTTGTTACTCTTATCTTCAGAACAGCTTTTTCTGTTTTAATACTTTGTTGATTCTCAAGAGCAGAATTTATTCAACCCAATAATCCCAGGGCCTAACAAAATATCTGGTATAAAAAATATGCTCAAAATAAATGTAATGTACAATGAACTGACTAAAAGAGCTAAAAATGATATTGAACTTAAAAAACCAATTAACAGATAAAGCTGGTTATGTCATTTCTTGAAAATGAATATACCTCACATGAAATGCAGAAGTAGACTCACTGCTAACTCCAAATTACCTCCAGTCTATGCGGATAGCAAACATAAGGCTAACCTAGGTAAATAAATGAACATAGAAGCTCATTTTAATGCCACAGATTTCACCTCTGTAGTTTAATTCACTTATTAGAATCATTCCCTTTATACTTTTGGGACCTAAGATTTCTGTTTCGGCAGCATTTTGTATAAACACCCCAACCCCCACTCTATCTGTGGCAAAAGCTCAAAGTCAGACTGGGCTAACACATTTCTGTCACAAACTAACAGCGTTTAAATACATTTTAATCAAATAGTTTAATAGCTTGTAATTCTAGAAATTCTGATAAGCTAGTTTGTGATTAAAAAGACTACCTTAAGTATTCCTATTGATAAATCCCATACAACTCCGAAACAAAGACAGAGTCTTAAGACAGACATTTATCGCGTAGGTCTGGTTTCATGAGACCTACCTTTCACAACAGCTCAAACCATGTGTTTTATATACATGCACATACGTAATATATACATATAAATATTTAGCTGGATTATAAAATGACCTCAGAGACGATTCAAAAATTACTCCTACAGTTTTTGATTATGTATCTGGGTAGTCAGAATTGTAGGCACAGATCAAAAACTTTGTTGATTCCAGCGTCTTGCTGTTTATCCGATTATAGCTGTGGCGAGAATATTTTAACTTAAAGAATCCTAAGGCAGACGGCCGTGCCACCTCCCATTCCCCACGCGCTTCAAGTTCAGCAACGTCCTCCCTGATTTATCACTGCAGGTGGTCTCCAGAGGTTTTCAGTCACAAATTATTTGGAATACAAGCTCCCAGATACACACCTTTACTTAAAATTATGTACGTAATGCACGTTGCTATTGCCCCTCGATGATACCATTATCGATAGTAAACAAACCTGCATCTCAGTCTTCTTGACTAATGTTGAATTTTCTCTGCTGACTCTGCATTAGATCTATCTTGGTTTTCTTGTTTTAATCCCTCAATGTGGCCGAGCAGCTGGAAACAGGACCAGCACCAGCTCCCCCATGTGCCAGCGGCTAGCACGTGCTTGGACTGGACCACCGGCATTACCGCCAATCTGTGATTTCTTTGCAGGAATCTTTTCAAGCCATTTTCCATCTTGTGAGGATTAGGTGACTGTAAACTGGCTAACGTAACCCATTTAACGGCGTCTATAGGGCTACGCTTTGCACACTTCTGAGTGTGAAGGGGCGAGTGACTAGAGACGCAGAGCCCACCCTGCAGAGCCCGCCCTGCAGAGCCCCTCCTCCCGCGCAGGGCAGTGCCTGTCTTAGGAAGCGGGTGCCGCCGCCGCCCACCCCACCCCGACTTAGGGCCGAGAATTAATGTCAGTCCGTACAGCGCATGAGTAAAACTTAACATCCTTCCCTTCTTAGTCTGAGCTGAGAAATACACAAGTGGATTTGTGGTGTCCAGGATGGCATGTAAGGAGCGTGGAAGTGCCACACCAACCTAACATCAAGTAAAAAGATAGACAAACTAAAAAATTGCACCTCAGGTTGGACCTGTAAGGGAAGAAGTAGCAGCTAGTTCTCCTTAGACACCTGTGGATCACCTTGCCTGCACCCCGTCCTGGAAGCCACCAGCCTGCAGAGCTACCGGGACAGGAAGAGGAGGCAGAGGCGACCGAAGGAGACAATGTTTTCTTAGGAAAGTCATCTCCCCACAGGCCTGTGATTTCTACTAAACTACTCAGGTCAGACATTTGAATATTTAAAATTTACATTTTCTCATAAAGAATAAAGTTTTACGTATCTCTTAAAATACTTCTCTTTAGATATACTTACGTTATTTTTTGTTGAATATTCTGCTGATAAATAAAGAAACAACTGCTTAACATTCCAATCAAATATATTCTCTAGATGTAAAAAATTAAGGAATATAAAACAGATCTTAGTTATTCTTAAGTATTCACAGCAATACTAACACAAAAATAGACAAAAAAGGAGAGGTGACCCAGAAACACAGAGCCACTAATAAAAATATGTAAAAGAGGATTTACTGTTTCAAGCACATAGGATTCCACTAACGTTCTAAAGTAACCAATCATCACAATTTAAATGTAATGATACGTGAACATAAACTAGGCTCAAGTAATTAAACCAAGTACAATAAACTGTGTATGCTGCTTTTGGACACATGCCAGTAGAGATCACAAGCTCTCAGTCCATGAAATGCTTTGGTAGAATATGCGGCCGGACACCAACTTGGTTTCATCAGTTTACTAAAGTCAAAGAGAAAAAAAAATCACCAGAATTAATTACAATACTGGTGTCACTAAGAAACGAACGAAGTTAACGTTTGGATTTTATTAAGCATTACATGTAAATGGTTGAGTCTTTTGTTATATGTGTTTATATACTGATAGCAATACATTCATGGGTATCCACCAAGAATCACTATTTTAGAATTGAGAGGTCTAGAATAGCGTCTTTGAAGAACAGGTGCAATTTCAAGTTTTAATAGCAGCCTTAAGAAAACTGGACTGAATTGGATGAGACCGAGCATATACACAGCAGTTGGGATACGAAGCCATTTCACTGCGGTTGTCAGACGGTGATTTTCGACCAGTGGGCCGCAAGAATTTTTAAAACATGCAGCACCTGACTATTTAGTCAGGGGCACTGACTTCTTTTCCATTAGACTGTCAAATAAAAAAATGACAACAGCCAACACCGCAATAGCTATCTGGTGTGACCACCCTGTCATGAACCATAAAAATATAGGTCATATAATAGAGCTGCGTCTTATTGGTCATGTTGCATAATAAGGTTGTGTCTGATTGGTTAATTCATAGTAACAGAAATCCTTCTATACAAATACAGGCACCTGATTTTTCAAAAAGCCACTTTGGAGCTAAAAGGGTAGATAATTACTATTTTTTTTTCTTTTTGTAAATTAATCAAAATTATACCCTTCTTTTTTTTGGTCAAGTCAGCAAAAAATACATTTTTCGGTGTGCTGCAGAATTTAGTAATTAGTTTGTATGTGCCGTGAGGTGAACAGCGCCAGTCCTCACACACACAATTACTACTTTCTCACTGGATCCACACTGTCTCTAACCAGAGTAGTTTGTTGTTTTTTTTTAAATGACATAAATACTTAAAAGTAGCCACAAAGTTAGCATATGTAGGATTTTTCTCATAGTATACTCTATTTCCGAAAAAAGTGCCCATAGAAGTGGTTCCTAGTCTACTTCTAAACCCAGTAACTTATTTCTAAAAACTCAAGCTAAAAGCAGTGTCACTCTCTGGGCAGTAAGGAAGCGTATCTGGTTCCTCCACCCCCACCGGGGCCAGGACCTGCTTCAGAGCGCAGACAGTCCCAACAGTGAGACACTGCTTTATGCAGGTTCAAACGGTCCAATCTCCAGAACCGATTTTAATCTGGGGTTTTAGCAAGGCAGAGAGATCCAGCTAGAAGCGGCAGAGAACAAAGCTGCCAACATTAACCTAATACGCTAGAGGAACACTATACTGGCCAAAGTGGTAAGACTTGCCAAAAGGTAAAGAGAAAATATTTAAAGATGAACTGTAATGATTTCTGACTCTTGTTATGAAAATATTTATAAAAAGAACTATAAGGGCAAGATGCAAATATGGCTAACCAATAACCATTTTGATAATACCTTCCAAACCGTAACAGGTGCAATTCACTTTTTAAACATGTTTCTATCATGAAATATGAAGATATAGTTTGAGAATGTACAAGAAATATTATTCCATCTGGGCTGGATGAGCACTGGAAACATTCTTCCTTCTTTAAGCCAAACGATCTAACTCTGTCTTTCCAAAATACAGATTCAAACTCTCCTGAACCTTTCGATTTATGTAATGTTTCTGCAAAGAATTTAAAGTATCTTCTCGCAGTAACTGTTGAATCTACCAGTAAGTTTTCTCCAGATGTGAATGAGGAGGCATTAACACAATTTTACTAATGAAAACATAGGCCTAGAAATTTCCAAGGTGTGGGTGATAGTCAAATTGTCCCCCAAATCACTACACAAAATGAGCGTCATTATAAAGCCGCAGAAGCAATGAAATAGTTTCTTAAAGGATATCAGCTGTGACATCAAAGTTTATGAATCCCAGATCACTTCTTTCTCTAGGTCCAGTGAAGTCTTCTACGTTTTTTCTGGAAGTAAAGATAAAAGTTTTACCATCCTGCAAACGTAATCAGCATACAAAAGCCACACAATTCCTTAGATGAAATGACACACAGAACACAGCTGTAGGCACCGGAAACAGCAATTCCACAGGGAAACAAGTGAAAACCAGAGAAAGCTGTAACTGTGAAATCAGGACAAACTTTCAAATTCTCTATCCAAGTCGGTCTTCAGCTATTTTCATGTGCCTCAAAAGAATCCCTAACAAAGCCCACGGGGAGATAAAAACTGCTCCACGAGTGTCAATGCTTGATGCCAAGTGACTGGGTAGAATGGGTGGGTGAGAGGAAGTGCCCCAAGGGGAGGTGTGGGAAACCAAGAATAACAGGCAACTGCTCTTCACTGAGCGCCTACTGTGTGTCTGTGTCATGGTCGCGACGTGGCTTGCACAAGTATCTCAAAGCGTAGAAGTTAGGTAGTACTTCCATTTTAGACAGGAGAAAATTGAGGCCCAGGGTAGTAAGAAACTGGCTCAAAATTAACAAAAGCTAACAGCTGTTTGGTGTTTACTACACACCAAGATCTTCAAAATCCCCCGAGTTGGCGGGGGCAGGGCTCACTTCCACCCAGGGTCTGATTTTTTGAACCTAAGAGAGTAATCTAACAAGCATCACCATAGCAAAAAAAAAAAAATAGAAAAAGAGAAACGGGAGGGGGCTGCGGTAGCTATTAGGTGACCGGCGTGGAGAGTCTGACAAACAACTAAAACTAAGGTTGAAGAAAGAGAGAGAACTTGTTAGAAGGTTTAACTGAGAAGAAAGGTAGGAGAGCCAGAAAAAAGAAATTCTATGTGCCAAAAAGTGCTAGGCAATAAAAATTATCAAGAAAAAAAGGGAACGGAGAAATGCCCACGTCATTCCTAAGTTCTATTTTTGGCATTTTCGCAGATTTATTTAAGCGGTTGGCTCTTAACAAATAAAAACCACGCCACCCCGGAGATCTCAGACGCCGGATCCTCTCCAAGCACCCAGCCGCCCTCGCCAACTTCAAAGCGGCTCCTGGAATTCCTGCCGCCGAGCAGCGAAGACGAGCGCTGCGGAGGGAATGTCAAACAGGGCGAAGCCGGGGTGCGGGGGACCCGGCGGGGCGGCCGGGGACCCGCGGGGGGCGGCGGCGCGGCGCGCTGTTGTGTTGCTCCCTCATTGGCCGGGCGTGGGCGGAGGGAAGTGAGGAACAGGAAGGAAGCAGAGGCACTGACCCGAGGAACACTCAAAATTAAAATTTAAGAGCAAGCCCGGGAATTGGCGGCGGAGGGGTGGGAGTTGGAGGGGAAGCCCGCGAGGTGCCCCCGGACGCGTGCCATCGGGGGGACGGAGGCCGCCCAGAAAGGGGACCCGCGGCGGCCCGGACTCCGCCCCGCCCCGCCCCGGCCCGGTCCAGCCGCCCTGCCCTGCCCAGCCGGCCGGGCCTCGGCCGCACTCACAGCATGATCCGCGAGACGTGCAGCCGCACCGGGACGCTCCTGTCTTTGAAGGCGGTGGTGATGAAGCAGCCGAAGGTGAGAGCCGCCATCACGCTCAGCGAGAAGGCGAACAGCGAGTTCGCCCGCGACAGCACCGTGTTCATCGCGGCTGAGTCCCCCGAGCCCTGTTCCACACGCACAACCGGGACCCCGTTCCAGTCGCGGACCGGTTCCTTGCGATCCGCGCCGCCTGCGCTGCGCGCGTTCCGGGGGCGCGCGCCGCCGCGGCCCCGCCTCCCTTCCGGTCCTCAGTCGTGAGAGCGCGCGCGCGCACCCGCCCCCTGGGACACACCCACCAGGCGGCAGGACCGCGCCGACAGGCGGAGACTGGGTCGCGCGCGGGCCCGCCCCTTTCTCCGGCCTACCTCCACCGCCAATCAGCGAGGAGCAGGGGAGGGGCGGGGTTTCGCCGCGGAGACCCGCCTCCTCCGCCCTGGATCTCCCCAACTCCGCCCCCTGCTCTCCGCCCTCTGCTCCCCGCTCCCGCTCGTACACCCTCCGTTCTCAGAGCTCCCGTCAGGTGGTCTGGGACCCTGGCCTGGTGACGACCTGGGTTTCATTAATTTGCACTTAAAACCAGCATCCAAGCGCGGTAGCCTGGAGTGTGTCCTCACGTGCAGCGCCCTACCCCACGCCGGGTCTTCCCGCTGTCGGATCGGCCCAAGCTGGACCTGAAGTCCCTTCGGAAGGTGGGGGGAGGGGCGGAAGAGGCCGCCGCTTCCCCAAAGCCGCTCGTGTTCACTTTCCACGTGCGACCTTGTCCGCTTCCTGTGACTGCTGCCTTCTAACGGCCGCTGAAGCGGTTTCTGACGCTAACGGTTGATGCTATCGATTCCACGGTATGCATTTAACTGGTAGGTCCTCTAACAGACCTCGCTGGGTTCTTCAGATCAAAGGCGGCTAATGGCCCCAGGGTGGCTGTCCAGCAAAATGCGGAAGGATTTAAAATTAGCAAGGCGTCGATGAAGAAGGGCCCTTGGCGCTTTCAGGTTCAGACTGTGTCAATCCCTGACCTTACATAGACTGTCAGCACACACCTTTGTTCCTTTCACAGCTAGGGATTTTTGTAATTATAAAAGTGGAACTCAGAGGGTCCAGTAATCTGCTCAAATTAATTTTTTTTAAATTTTGCGTTAATAAACCAGAAGAGGTTAAGAACGCCTGGCCTGGAACCTGGCTGCTGACTCCCCTCGTGCATTGATGAGCCCTTTGCATTGAACTGCTTTGCATTGTTCATTATCTTTCAGTTTCATACAGCCATACAGGGAGTGCCTATCATGTGCCAGCTGCAGCTTTGAGAGTGGAGCCCTGATAAGGGAACATCCCTGCCAAATTAGAGTAGAGCCCAGTAGTGAAAAAAGGACAGATCCTTAGCTGGGTTTAAAACTTAAATCTTATCTTCCAGGCAGCCACAGTTGATTCAATAAAGCAGCTGTTTATCGGATGCCTCCTGGGTTGCAAATGATAGAGATGTATACTAGTCACTTTCTACCCTCATGAAGCTTACTTATAATCTGGTAGAGTCCATAAAATAAAGACAGATCTGGAATGGAAACAAATACCACGGGAGTGCTGTGGACTTCGGAGGAAGAAGAAGTCCCATCTGTGGCGAGGTGGGCAAAGCGGCGTCAGGCAGGTGTCAAACGCGGTGCCACGACCCTGTGGCTCAGGTGTTCCATGAGATGCTGGTCTTCTAGTCTGATGTCTATTAATTGTTCATTCTAATTACAGATATTTGTGCTTTCGCCCTTTTTTCTTTATTGATTAGTATTTACCTTTGTTGATTTTTTCACAGAGCTGTAGTTCCCATTTCTTAATTCTACTGTTCTTTGCATTCTTATTAATGTTTAATGTTATCACAATTCTTTGTCACTTTTCCTTGGCTTACTGGTTTTAGGAATTAGATATTGAATTGATGTATTTTCATTTTTATTGTTGTGATAACTGCTTTCCCTGTATCCTAAAACTTCTGTTATATTCTTTTTTTAAATTTTGTGTTTCTTCTTTGAGAACTAATTTAATTGTGTGTGTGTGTTTGTGTGTGTTTTTATGTACGTGTGTTAAATTTCCAGGAGAAAGGACCTATTTCATTTTGATTGTTTTAAATTAATGTATAATTTTATTTCAGGTAGGCAGAGAATGCTGATTGTATTATTTTTGTTCTTTGGATTATTGAGATCTTCTTTGTGGCCTAAAGTATCACTTTTGTGAATATTCAGTGTGCACTTGTAAAGGTGATGTATTTTCTATTAATGGTATACAGAGTTCGTTCGACACGTATCTGTGAGAGCCACCTTATATCTTTATTAATTTTTCCTTGTCTTGATTTTGCTGGATCGAAAACAATGTGTTAAAGTCTCCAAATTAATGTTTTTTGTCCTTTTCTCCTCTTTCTATTTTCTGCATTATGAAATTTATGTAAATTTTCTCTCTTCATTATGAATGGTCGTTTTTAGCATTAGAAAGTATTCTTCTTTTACTGTTAATGCTTTTTGATCCAAATTCTAGCTTGTCAAGTACCAAGAGTGTACAGAAGAAACCGAGGCTGTTATTTATTTAAAGTAATACCGTAGACCTCAAAAGGAAGTTCAGCACTTTCTCACTAAGCATCTTCTACACTTCGATAGTTTCTACTCAGAACCTAATGGGGGTGGTGAGAGGCTCCTTGGGAGCACTTTGTCAACCCTTTTGCAGATAGGAAGTGGTCAACTGGTGAAGACATGCTTATTATACTTCCGCAGAGGAGGACGAACTGAGAACAAAGGTTAAGTTTCTGTCTTCTTACCTGCAAATAATTATTCTTTATAACACTCATTTAGGAAGAGGGAAGAAGAGTAGATTATTTTATGAGGAAATGCTTTAAAAAAAGGTGTGTGCACACACAAAGTCTGCCCAGAAAGTATCCATCCATGTTATGAAAAACAGACATTTTTTGAAGAAGACACAAGATACAAGAAACATTGTACGTAGGACAGTGATGTCTCAGTCGCCTTCAATGTAGGCACCTGGGGTCCTCACACAGTTCTCCCAGTCACCATCAGCTGCCCTGTGCTATTTTCTTGAATCTCAAAGGTCGGAAATCTCTTCCCTTTCAAAAGTGATTTTAGTTTTGGGAAAAGCCAGAAGTCATGGGGCACCAAATCTGGGCTGTAGTGGGACGGAGTCACCTGGGTGATTTGATGTTTCACCAAAAAACACTGCACGGGACATCATGCCTGAGCGGGCTTGTTGTCGTGATGAAGCTGCCAATCACCAGTTGCCCACAGCTGCAGCTTCTGAACCATCCGAATAGTTTCTACAGAGGAATATTTAAACTTAACGCCAAATTTGACGTAGATTCAAAATGTAGAGAAAATGGTTGCTCTACTTGCTCATTTTCAAAGTGATGGCACACAGTGCACATGCCCACTCAATGGCCTCTACCGCCCCCACTGACCACTACAGTGAAGTTGTCATTGTTCACACATGTGCATTTCAGTCCCACTCCCCTTGGCTGCCAGGTCACATCAATGCCACACAAACTGTTCTCATTATATTAACAATGGCTGGACTTTTTCCAGGACGGACCTCATAGACAGGTAAGGGGTAGAAAAGGGAGGCAGACCTAAAGAGACAAGTGTGGCAACCAAAGTTCTTGTGAGGGATGTCTGAGAGTTAGCACCGAGCTACCTAAGGAAGTTGCTGCAATGGAATATGTTATAGGTCTGACACATTAAGGACTCCAGTTGAAAATGTTTTTCAGAAAGAGATATAGCATCCATCATGGAAGGTCATATGGTTTTCTATTTCTTTTAGTGGCCAGAGCCATACACATAGTGGATGAAAAAAAAAATTTTTAATTGAATTGAGATTCCCTGGCTCCATATGATAAGATATTTTTGAAGAAATTTTTATGAAAAAAATACATATTATACACAAGGAATGAGGATTTAAAGTGTAAATTGATAAAATGGTAAAAAGGACAAAACTAAATTGGATATGTAGGCCAACAAATTATAGAAGGCTTGATGCCAGGCTAGTAAGTCTGAACATCATCCAGGAGACAATAGCAACGTTTGAGGATTTTAGACCAGTCGAGTATAAAGCCCACATGGGCTCCAGGTACATAACTAATTCTTAGCGAAGGATGAGACCGTCGACTGGTAGACCAGGTCAGATGTGAGACGATGGGCGTGAACGGAGGCCACGGCACAGCAGATGAAGGGAAGGAGCGGACACATCTACCGGTCCCCCGCGATCTCATTCATTGCCTCCAGGCACTGTCTTTAGCCCACCTGTATGCACTTGACTGTTAACCTGGATGACAAGTTGGCCCACATGGTCACAGCTGCCTGCCCCCGGTGCACGTGGTGGATGAGCTCCCTGAGGGTCCTTGGGGGGGCGTATCTGAAATGACACCGGAGACCGTTGGTTTCTGAGACCTATAGCTCGCCCTCCCAAGGAAAATGAAAAACAAGAAGCCCTTCCATATTACCTAGACAAAGACATCCAAAAGTTATTGGGATTCTTTGGATAAGTTAGGCAGTTACTATCCCACTTCTCTGTTCATAGCAGGTAGCCAACCATCCTTTAAAGAAGGGGAGAGGGGCTCGGGAAGCCCGTGGCATTCTCTTAGCGGGAGAACCCAATGGACTTCTCCCTCTTCCTAGCCTCCTCTGACTCACCCAGAAACTCCCTGTTGAAACTATCTCTCTTAACATTCTATGGTGGACATCTGGCCACTGAGGAGCCCAAGTTCAAATTCGTGTCCTGCACGCTCATCCCAAGGAAGCCACTCCCAGCTGTAAACAGGCCTAGGCAAGCGCTCTCAGCCTCTGGGCCATTACATGCTACTTGGAGTTGGGCTAGCGCCCTGTACAACACCTGCAGACCACCACCGCTCTACGGTGAGTGAGACCCAGAAATTGAGACCACGCCTGGTGCAGTTCATTACCTCCTTTACTCATGTGAGTTCTCTCTATTATAGGAAAGTTTCTGGGTACCCACTGACATACAAAGCCATCTTGTCCAGAATGGAAATAAAAGGGAGAAGTGATTATGGCAACTGCGTGGAAGCGTTAGGGGGCCTGAGACCTCTATCCTTAGACGCGCCTGCTGACAAGGTTGTCCTTCGGCATCTGGAAAACAGTGCCGTGCACTGATGTAGAACTCCCTAAATGATAAAAAGTGGCCCACTGCCCCTAAACCAGGGCTGTCCAACCTTTTGGCATCTTTGGGCCACACTGGAAGAAGAGTTGTCTTGGGCCACCCATTAAA